CCATCCCATTCCCACCATGTTCTGGTTTTTCCTGGAACTCCATCAGGCCTCATCTGTCTACCTCCTCACCTGTTTCTTTGCCTTTTTCTTTTTAAGAAAAGATTTCCCCACTTCACCTCTCAGCCAACATGCTAATTTGTTTTGAATTTTGGCTCTTACATTTAACTTCAAAGGTTTTGTTTTGAATTTTCCCTTTTAAAATACTATGTGTTCTTTTTTAATGCACACAGTTCCTTTTCATTTACTATTATTTTTTTTTAATTTATTCATTTGAGAGAGATACAGAGACCGAGAGAGCACAAGCAAGGAAAGCAGCAGTGGGAGAGGGAGAAGCAGACTCCCTGCCAAGCAGGGAGCCCCATGTGGGGCTCAGTCCCGGGACCCTGGGATCATGACCTGAGCTGAAGACAGACGCTCAACCACATGAGCCACCAGGTGCCCCCACGGTTCCTTTTCAGCCTCAGGTCACTAGTCATCATTTTGCGGGCTGTTTCTGCACTGGCCGCACCATCTCTCCCCCTTCGGTCTGATTCCTCACTTGCACATCAGAAACGACCGTCAGATGCCTGGTGACGACAGGCTTCCTGCCACGCAGAAGTGAAGAAGGTGGCCAGGAGCCCCGTGGGCACAGGCGAAGCTCACTGGCGCCCCAGCCCTCGAGCACACTGGCTTTGAGGTTTGCAGCTCACAGCACTTCTCCTCTTCTCTCTGGGATGTCACGCTCCTCTGAGGGCCCCGAGCCTCCCAGCGTCCCATCCGTGGCTGCCCGTTTTCCACCGCACACCGGCTCCTCATCCCTCTGGCTGTCCGTGTGTGACTTTGCCCCGTCCGTGGGGGGCTGACACCTCCATCTACCTCTGTCTTTGTCTATGCTGTGGTTCTGAGTAACAGACTCTAACCCATTTTCGTTTCTTAACTGGAAGTTTCCTCCCGTTAGACCTTCGTGATCACGGACTTGCTCTGCCAGCTCACTCTGGTTGGTGGCCCCGTGCTTTTCTTCCTCTTTTCCAACTTATCCTTTTAACGATCGTAGTTGTTCACTTTGAATTACTGCATTTTTTCTTGTAGACTGAAAATATATACAGCTTATACTAATTAACATTAACTTATATTACACATATTTATTAAAGTCTGAAATTAAAGAGTCTTGTGCCCCTTCCCAGCTATAGGAGGGTCTTAGGACGTTTGCCCCCTTCACAGGCACACGATTGTCTGGTATTCCAGGAGACATTATTCTTTTATACAGACGTTTGGACCTCATTCATATCGGTCATTTTGCTTGCTCCCCACTCTGTGTCCTAAGACCATCATTCTGCAGTCATTTCCCCCCTCTTTGCTGTATAAACTTCAGAGGTTGTTTCAGTGGAAGTTCCTTAGTGTAAACGATCTTATATTTTACTTATCTATAAATGTCTGTTTTCACCTTCATGAGAAATAATTTTGCTGGGCATGCAATTCTAGGTTGACAAGTGTTTCCTCCCAGTGCCTCAAAGAGGCGAAGCCAACTGCCCCCTCTGTGCTGCTTCGAGAAATCTGCTGAGGGTGGGCCGCTGGCTCCTTTGGGAGCAATTGAGCCTTTCTCTGGGACGATGTGAATGTCTCTCTTGCTGGGCTGTGCTCTCACTGTGCTGTTTCTAGGTGTGGATTTCTCTTTATTTACACTGCTTCAAAGACATTATGCTTCCCAGATGTGTAGGTTTATGTTTTTCAGTAAATAAAGAAAAGCTTGAAGGGACACTATAAATGGGGGCTCCAAAGAAATCCAGTCCTGTAAAGTGCAGAAGCTCGTCCTTATAAAGAACTAATGAGCCCACACGGATGCCAGCCCTTCCAGGTGTCTCAGCTGTCTGCCAGCACAGCTTGATTACTGTTGTCCTTTGTGGCTGATGTGTTGAGGGTCGCGGTTCTCGGTCTTGAGGCTGGCTGGAACTTCCAGTGTATTGGTAACGAGTTCAGTGTCCTCTCCTTTCACTGATTGTCTTGTTGGCCTGATTATGGGGGGACTCAGTTCAGGCGGGGGCTGCAGACACTCATCTTCCCCAGCTGGGGTTGGGTGCTGTCTCCCTGCCCAACCTCACCTTCACCTCCATTCTCAGTCCGGCACAGGATGGGAGATTGAGCCTGCTGGAGAATAGGGACTGGGTGGGCCGTGGCAGCCAGCTGCTGATAAAGTTGGACTTGGCGGGATGCTTTGGTGGTTCAGTCAGTTAAGTTGCTGCCTTCAGCTCAAGACATGACCCCAGGATCCTGGGATCGAGTCCCGTGTCAGGCTCCTTGCTTGGCAGGGAGCCTGCTCTCTCTCTCTGCCTCTGCCTGCCACTCTGCCTGCTTGTGCGTTCTCTCTCTCTGACAGATAAATAAATAAAAAAAATCTTTAAATAAAAAAGTTGAACTTGGCATAATCAGGGGGCGCGTCATCGCAGGGCCTCACTGGGTGTCCTCTCCTGCACTCTCTCTTCTCCGGGGGCTCCTATCAGGTCTACGCCAGACTTCCTTATTCTGCTTTACAAATCTTTTCACATTTCCTTTAGATTTTTCATCAACTTGTCTATGTGGCATCCGATTTCCTTGGATGTGTCTTCCACTACACTAACGCTCTCTTCAGCAGCATCTCCTCTGCTATTTAACCTACCCACTTAGTTCTATTTCAACAGTTGTATTTTTCATTCTAAAAGTTCTTTAAAAACCCTGCCCGTCCATGCTTGATAGTCTGATATTGCTTTCTCATTGCTGTGACTGGCTTCTTTATTTCTGTGCACACTTCACACATAACTGTTCCCTCGCTTGTATCACCTGGCGATTTCATTATCTGCAGTTCTTTGAGGTTTCTGTCTACTGTTTGCTGTTTTCCTTGGCCCTCATTCAGTGAGAACTTCCCATGTCGTTGGTGATCTTTAAGCTCATTGCTTGACCTTATAAACAGGAATACTACAGGTCTAATTCCTCCAAAGTGTTAATGCTTTGGCTTCTACTGGTCTCTGAGAGGCACCACGAACCTGGGACCCTTCAGCTTATCTGAGGATTTGGGCTCAGCACCAGAATTGTGGGCTCAGTTTTCTACCTCCCCATTGGTCCAAGAGTCAGGCGCCCAGTAGCTGTGGTGCCACTGAATCCACCTGAGGGCAGCTCTGCCTCCACAGGCTGCATAGCCCTTGGCCTAAGCTTGCATCAGAAAAGAAATAGGTGACCCCCGAGAGCTTTAGACTTGTACAGCGATTTTAGAGGTCCCAGCTGCTTATAGGACCCAAAATGACACAACCAGTAGTTAAGCTGGAGCAGGTAATAACCAGGAAATGGCACTGGACCACAGCCTGGCCAGCACAGACTGGGATCCTGAAGCTGGGCCCCAGGACTCATGGCCAGGTGACTGCTGACTTTTCTTAGTCATTACAGTAAACTTTCAACAAGATGACCTCATTCGATTCATTATGGCAGAGTTCTAGGACGTGCAACAAAGACGCTTTGCCATTCTGTCCTTCCATTCCTGGCGAATAACACACTTCTGCATCCAAGGAGCTGTTGTGGTATGATGTGAAATACTAAGTTATAAATAGTGAATTCCCTTGAGTTTTACTTTCTGCCTTCTCTGACTGCAGATTCCAAGGTTCCACAAGTGTGCACGTCTCGTACCCTTTCACACCCCCGAGTGCACCCTGACCTCTGCTTTGTACACGACACTGAGCCCATCTGTTGATGAAATCTTTTGAAGAATGGGCTCTGGAATCAGCCCTCGTGGGAACTCTTCCCAATGTCTTTCTCTTGCCCTGATCGTCTGTGCTCTTGGTGCTCTGGAGGTACTGCTGTCCCTGGGCTTTTCACTGGGTGCTACACAGAGGCTTTCCTTGTCTGGGTCACTCTCTAACCTGTAGAGTCCCTGAGTACATGTGTCAGGCTGGTTTTGTCTCTCCCAGAACAGTGCACAGAGCCTGGACAAGTGTGTGCCTAGGAAACATCTGCAGAAAGCACAAATATCTTTCTTTTCCTTTTCCTTTCCTTCCCCTTTCCAGCAACTGAGCCACCCAGGTGCCCCAAAAGTACAAATATCTTGACTCACTGAATTCTACTCCAGAAACCAATACTGCACCATATGTTAACTTAGTAAAATTTAAATTAAAAAAAAGTACAAATATCTTAAACTTCCTTTCCTTGTACTGCCGTTAAGAGGCTGAGCAGAGCTCTGCAAGCGGCATTCTCTGAAACGGTGTGAAAACACAGCAGATCTGTGTCCTCTCCTCCTCTGGCCCAGCCTGTGGTCTCTGTGGGGCATCTCTTACACCCTTCCCAAGAGACTTCACAGACACCCTTTGGTGGAGTATGTTCCGTTCTGGCATACTCTGAATTGAGGCTGTGTTCAATCAGTTCTGGCTACAGGAGCTCCTGCTCAGACGGAGAGACACAGACATAAACTCAGAGCTTTGACACAAAATAGAAAGGGACTCTTGCCTTTTAAAAACCGCCACGGAACTAAGAAAACAATAAAGCAAAACAAAGAACCACTGATAAATAAATCTCAAAAACGTTAAGCAGAGGAAAAGAAGCCAGACATTAAAAAGTATATGTGAAATCATTCTATTTACATAAGGTTCTAGAACGAGCAAAACGAGCCACAGAAATGACGTCACTGGGTGCCTCTGAGGCTAAGGGGACAATGGAGACAGTCTGTTATCTTGAGAGCACAGTGGTTCTAAAGGTCAAAACAGGTTGTATTCGTCAAGTCTCATAAACCCAGCCCTTAAGATCTATGCAGTACATAAACGTGAATCACACGTCAGCAAGGGCTACCGATACGAAATCAGTCTCAGGGGACACGTGTGCTCGTCAGATTGCTCTCCTTCGGGGAAGCCTTCGTTCCCTGCTATTAAACCAGCCTTCCTTGGACTCCTCCTCCGACTGCCAGCCAGGGAGCAGAGGACGCACTAGGGGCTTCCCCACGGGCAAGAACTTAAAGCGCTGGGCTGCTCCCTCATCCTCCTCACGCAGGGGGGATGAGGGACACAGCCCTCCAGGCGCAGCCAGTTTCATGGGTGCTGCACCCACCGCATCCTGGCCCATTTGCAGGCTCAGTCCGTGCCGTGGACGCGCTGGTGCTGGATCAGGTGTGAGCTCAGGCGGAAGGCACGGCCGCACTTGGTGCAGTGGAAAGGCTTCTCCCCCGTGTGGACCCGCCGGTGCCGGAAGAAGCCCGACAGGGCTCTGAAGGCGCGGCCACACTCCCCGCAGGCGTACGGCTTCTCCCCGGTGTGGATGCGCCGGTGCTCACTGAGGAAGGAGCTCCGGCTGAAGGCGCGGCCGCACTCCGGGCAGGCGTAGGGCTTCTCGCCCGTGTGCACTCGCCGGTGCTGCAGGAGGTTGGAGCTCTGGCTGAAGGCCTGGCCGCACTCTTGACATTCGTAGGGGCTCTCCCCATGGTGGGTGCGCTGGTGCCGGGCCACATTGGAGCTGTGCAGGAAGGCCTTCCCGCACTCGCTGCACGCGTACGGCCTCTCGCCTGTGTGTGTCCTCTGGTGCTTGGCGGCGTCTGACCGCTGACCAAAGGACTTGCCGCACTCAGCACATCCGTACGGCTTCTCTCCCGTGTGAGTTCGCTGGTGCCGGACAAGGTTGAAGCTCTGGCTGAAGGCTCTCCCGCACTCCGTGCAGACGTAGGGCTTCTCCCCGTGGTGGGTGCGCTGGTGCCGGACCACGTGCGAGCTGTGGATGAATGCCTTCCCGCAGTCGCTGCACGCGTACGGCTTCTCCCCGGAGTGAATGCTCTGGTGCTTCACCACGTCCGAATAGCACTTGAAGCTCCGGTCACAGGTGCCACACTGATAAGGCCGCCCTTTGCAGGGGCCCCTCCTGCTTGTGGCAGAGCGAGCGTTTGGGGAGGCCCCTGATGGGGACACTCTGCCGTGCAGACCACACTGCCCTCCAGGTTTGGCAGAAACAACTGGTACCCTCAGGGAATCTCTAGGCCTGTCTCCGGCCTCCTCACTCCCACAGCCATCCAGAAGTCCCAGGGCCCAGGGAGGCCCCTGTAACGGGCCCAGCTCTCTCTCTCCCTGGCGAGGCTCTTCTTCTTCCAAAGCCTCCTGCGTTGGCGTCGGCTTGGCACTCTGAGCCCCTCGCTCGGCCACTGAAGGAGCCCAGCAGGAAGCCTGGCTGCCACCTGCCGCCTGTGCCAGGGAAGCTGGAAAAGAGGGTCAGAGGTGAGTGACTGGAGGCCTAAGGAAGCTCTGAGGGCACTCAGCTGCGTGGGCGTGGACAGGGTGGTGGCCACCAGGGTACGGCAGAGCTGACGGTAACGGTGTGTGGCAGACACCGGCGCCACGTCTGCCCAGCTCTCCCCAATGCCTGTGGTCCCTCCGCTGGGACTCCAGGGTGGCCTGAGCCTCTCCCCTCAGGCTCAGGAGAGCAGCAGACAGAAGCCCGGGCCTTGGGTGCCGCTGGCTCTGCTGTATGGCCTGGAAGGCAAAGAACACTGCCAGAGGAACACCGAGGCAGAGGTACCGGGAGGCACGGGTCCTCGTCCCAGCTCACTTCCCCAGCTCTGGACCCCCCAACAACTCTGTCCTTGACACCTCCCCATGACCCACCAAACTCAAAGGTCTCTGGTCCAGGCAAGTAAGAGAATCCTTCCTCAGAGACCAATCCGTGGCAAGAGCAAGCAACAGCGTCCGGAGCCGCGGGCTGGACTGCGGGGCCTCCCAGGCCTGGCTGCTTGGTGGGGAGGCTGCTGGTTGCCCCTGGCCCTGCTGGCTCCTGGGCACAGACCACACGCCCATGAAGACAAATGGCTTTAGGGATGTGGCCACAAGACAGAATGCCAGGCAGTTCCTGCCACGTTTACAGGACCTGCGGGGCCCCCGGGAGGTGAGACAAGGATGGTTCCTTGCAGGTAGCTCGGTAGGAGGGCCCCCAGGGCACTTTCTAGGGGGACCGAGGGGGCTGTGCCTGCACCGCTGTAACAGGGCACCTGTCAAGGCCTGAGCCCGCCCAGGTGATAGAGGCTCCTGCGTGGGGGGGCGGGGGCGGGGCAAGGCCAGGATTCCCAGGGGCGGTGGAGCGGGCAGGCACCCACAGCCGCTTTCCATCAACTTCCTAACTAACTAGCTAGGGGGCTGTCCACCTGAGCACCTGGAGATGGGGAGAGACCCCAGGCACAGGGCCAAGAAACAGGAGGCCCTCTAGGAAGGCCCCGTCTGGTCGTGAGGTTTGGCAGACTTAGAAGTTCAAGAAAACAACTCAGAGGCACTGGTTTTGAAGGAAGAATTATTCAGAATTAAAAGCGGGGGGGCACATACACCCTTTCCAGTTCCAGTAGGTCAGGCCTTGGGTCCTGCCTCCTGAGGCCATCCCAGCCCCCAGCAGGCAGCCCTGCGTGTGCATGTGGGTGTGGAGGGGGATCCTCTCAGTGATGAGCTCCCAGGGTGCCCTGAGGAGCCCTAAACTTGGAGGCCTTGTTCCCGACTGGGGCAGTTGTGCCCGTGGGAGCCATCTCTGGTTGTCACAACTGTGAGAGGTGGTCCTGGTCTTCTGTGGGTGGAGGCCAGGGATGCTGACTATTCTAGAATGCCCAGGACACCTGGGAGGACACGAGAAGTCTTCCATCCCAGGATGTCCAGTGCCAAGGCTGAGAAACCCTGGTGCAGGGAAGTCTTCCCAAAAGGTTAGAACTTGGTTTCGAACCAAGACACTCAGTGCCCTGGCCGAAGCTGCTGGTCTCCCGACTGACGTGCACCAGCCCCATCAGCCCCACCACCGGTCTCACGCTCCCCTGCACCCTGCTTTCAGGCCACAGACCCCAGGGCGTGTGCTTGGGACCAGCAACCAGGACACGGTGGTCCTATTCCCTTTATAAATGTGTGCTTTGTTGTGACCTGTTTCTTCTCCGCCACTCTGTGTATGTTGACATTTGCTAAAACCGTTACTTGGTCCAAAACCGCAGGACAGTGAAGAGCCCCGTTGGGACAGATCTGGCCAGGATGAAGGTCAGACAAGGCAGGCTGGGCAAGCCCGGGACTTGAAGGGCAGCTTCATGGCAGGACCCAAAGAAGGGACGCGCATGTGTTCGTGGACACAGGGCGGCTGAATCACCTGACACAGGGGTTCTCTGGTTTCCAGGGAGAACGGGTGCAGGTGTGTGGGCAGGGGGTCCGCAGTACGTTCTGCGGGCCAGGGTCTACTCCAGCCAGGCTCCCGCTGCCGAGCACGCTGCACCGGAGCCGGGAGGTGGGAGAGCCTGCGGCAGCGCGAGTGTCTGTGCTGCGCGGGGGTTGGATATAGTCCCAGGCACTGCTTGTCCCAGGCCGCAGTGACAACGGTAAGCGGGACAGGAGTCCTCAGCTTCGACAGCCCGTAATCAAGGCCTTAAACCTTCAGAACAGAGGGGGGCCTGGAGCCTGGGAGGGCTGTGGATGGGAGGCTAGCCAGGTTTTCTCTCCATACTCTTCCGGGCCTCCTAGTCTGAGCCCAGGCTAGCCGGGCCCTGAGAAATGGGGCCAGAATTAACAGTCTCGTTCTCAGAAGTCTCCAGGCAGGGGAGGGGCAGAGGAAGAGGGGTGCAGAGTGTGGCCACGAGAGCAAGGGGATGGAACATGGAGTGGCGAGGACGGCAGGCAGTAGGGGTGGGAGCTGTGTTAGGCAAAGAAAGGGACAGGGAAGTGCTGCCCGAACCCAGCTACATCCCCTAGCAGCCAGGCAGGTGGGCTCTGGAAGCCCCGATTCCTAAGCTGTTCCCTCCTCCCTAACCCCACCTTGCTGCCCACCCCTCACCTGTGTGTGTGTCCATCAGGGTAGCCCTCTCCGTGGTGTTCTGGAGACCCAGGCCTGGGGGCTCTCCTTGCCGTGCCTTACAGAAGCACCAGGAGTGGGGATCCCTGCCTGGGTAAGAGAGAAGACAAGGGGAGAAAGTGACAGGGGAGGTGGGGTGAGCGCAGAGCCACTGCTGGGGACCGCATGGGCCTGTGTCTGCCACGAGAACTCGAAGTCATGACTAAACGGACACCCCACTAGCTAGGGCTCCATAGGGTGCAGTGTGGGAACGCCGTCTGGACCACGCTGGCGTCCCTGAGCCCTGCCCCGGCGGGCTGAGAGCACAGCTGGAGGCGGCAGCCGGGGGCTAGCTGCCGGCCTGGTCCTGCTCCTGCTCAGCAGCGAACAAGCCCAGCGCCCGCTGGTCAGTCCTCAGGTGTCTGGAGACACATCTAGGGGTGTACGGCTTTTCTTGGTAATTATAAAGATCTGATCATAAAATTACGAAACCAGGGAAACAGGAAATTACCGGTGCAGGTCTGGCCTGCGGATGACCCCGCCGCGCTCAACACCCCAGGCACCGCCTGGCAGATGCGAGCACACGAGGAAGTCCAGTGCGGACACGAGAGAAGGAAAGAAAACCTGGGGCGGGGGCGGGGGTCGGTGGCCTGTTTCTAACACAGGTTCACGGCCTTGCTCCGTGAGGAGCACGACACACTGGTGGGAAATCAGGGCGAGTGGGTGAAGTCACCACGTGACCCTCGGAAGAGCTGGCAGGTGGCCAGCGCCGTGTTGGACGGAAGTTCCCCGTCCGACCCCTGATTCGCAGCGGAGGACGGTGACGCAGGGCGCCCGGGCGCTTCGGTCGGGTAACGGCCTGCCTCCGGCTGCGGTCAGGCACGATCGCGGGTCTGTGGTCCGGCCCGACCGGCTCCCTGCTCGGCGGGGAGCCTGCTTCCCCTCTGCCCGCCGCTGCCCCGTTTCTCTTTCTCTGGCAAATCAGTAAAATCTTCAAACAGAAACACCACGTTCCTACTCTTCGGGACGGTAAGTAACACCTGCGGGGAGCGACCCCACACACCGCGGCGCTGGGAGCGCGACCCACACGGACGCTGCGCCTCCAACGCGCCGCCGAGCAAGCCGAGGGCCTCGTTTCAACGAAAATCTGGGTCGGAAAGGGCCGGAGCCGCGGGGGACGCAGCGGCCCCCGGCGACCACCCGGGACCAGGGGCGCCGTCCCCCCGCCGCCGTCCCACTGGTCGGGGTCCCCTGAGGCCGTCCCACTGGCTTGGGTGGGGGCGGGGCTGTCCGGGGCCGCCGCACCGGTCGGGGGCTGGTCCCGGCTGTCACACGGTCGGAGGGAGCCGTCCCCACGCCGTCTCGCTGCTCAGGGCGCGACTCCCCTCCGGCTGTCACTCCCCACCGCGCACGTGCAGCTCTGCCGAAGCGAGCGCCCCGCATAAGCACACACGTCCGCGCCCGAGCCCCAGGTCCCCGCTCCGGGGGGGGGGCCGCAGCCGGACACCGCCACTCACCTGCAGCCCCTCCGCTCCCCGGAACGGCCGCCGTCCCCCGCGCGGTGGCGCGGCACTTCCGGTGACGCTCTAGGCGCCGGGAGGACTATGTACCCGGCTGCCCGGGCGGCCGCGGCGCGGGCACTTCCGGTGACGCTCTAGGCCGCAGGAGGGCCGTGCACCTCGCTGCTCCCCGGGTCGGCTCCCCAGCTTGGCGGCCCGGGCGCTGGCTCCGGTCGCCGCGTCTTCACGGACCACACCGCCGCCCCGCTGCGGCCCGCCGGCCTCCCAGAGCCGCGACCCTCCCAAGTCTTTCCTCCCTCGCCTCCAGCCAGGCCCGGGTGGGGTCGGGGGCCGCGGGATGAACGAAGCAGCGGACGAAGGCCGTGCGGGCCGACAGGGGTGGGGGAGGGGTGGGCCGAGTCCGGGGGCCGTGGGCGGGGGGCGGGGGAGCAGCGGGGCGGGCAGGGTGTGGGGAAAGCTCCCTGCGCCAGGGGCCGCGAGCGCCCGCGGCGGGGAGGGAGCCCCGCAGCCGCCCCCTCCGGGCGCGCGGTCCCCGCTCGGCAGCCGGACCCTCCTGCGCCCGCTGGGCCTCCCCGCCGACCTTCCGCGCCCGCGCACTGGGGGCCGAGGACCCGCCGTGCGGACGCTGGGCTTCGCGGGGGCCGACGTCGGGCGCGAGCGGAGCCGGTGGGGACGTTTCGTGGCGGGCGACGAGGGCAGCCGCAGCTCTGGCGGCCTCGGGGGGACGTGAGCCCCGCGTGGCCTGGGGCCCGGGTGCGGCCCTGCCAGAGGCGGGTGGGAGGCGGCAGGGGCTTGATGCCGGCCCAGGCCGGTCCGCCGCTCGCTGGGACGCGGCCGGGATCCGGCCCCTCCGGCTGTGTGCGGGCGTGTGCGCGGGGGACAGGGCTCAGTGAGGACCTTCTGGCTGCCGCTTGCGGCGGGAACAAGCGTCGGCCGTTCGGAGGCTCGTGTGCTCGCGCCTAGCGGGGAAACCGCACTCTGGGGGCGCCCGGGGGGCCCAGTCAGTGGAGCGACTGTCTCTGGCTCGGGTCGTGATTCTGGAGTCCCAGGATCGAGTCCCGCATCGGCTCCCGGCTCAGCGGGGAGGCCGCGTCTCCCTCTGACCCTTCCCCTCTGTGATCTCTCTCTCTCTCTCTGTCTTTAAAAAAATAAATTAAGAAAAAATGGTGTTCCTTTAGCTTCCCTACCTTTACGATCTCCATTTGTTTGGGTCAGGGAGTCGGGCCCAGCCCAGCCACGTCTGGGTTTGGGTCTGTCCCAGGGTGTCCTGAAGGTGTGGGTGGGGGCCGGGTCTCTCCTGAGGCTCCAAGGGGTAGCGTCTGCCTCCAGGCTGGGGATGTTAGCGGGAATCAGGTCCTGAAGGTGGGAGTTGGGAGTTTCCTGGCGTCCCGCCCCTCATTGGCCGGGATGCGGGCTTTCCCATGGGCACTGCATTCCGGGGTTTCTCAACACAGTGGACGCTCTCATGTTTCATCACTGCTGAGAAACCTTCACAGCATCTTCCACACGTGTGCGTCATGGGGCTTGGGTCTCGAACAGCATGTCCCTAAGGCACCATACGGTTGTCTCTCCGTGCCCCAGGAGCTTTCCCGTCAGTGACTTCTGTGGCCTCTCTTCAGCCTCCTCGTTCAGACGGAAACCCCAGAGCACAGAGGGCCCCTGGAAATGTTCACCTGCTCCCTGACGGTGATCCTCTCTACAAGCTTCTACAAAAGTCTCTTGCACTAGTGTCTGCCCTGTGTCCTTAACCCCACTCACCAAACAGAAGCACAGGCGGTGAGTGGCCCCTGGTGCCAGGCAGGAAGAAGGGGATTGTCATAGCTGGGCTGGGCCAGCAGTGGCGGCCATGGAGGGCGCTGGCTCTGCAGGAGCTAGGAACTCCATGCCATGTGCTGTGCCCAGCACGCCCTCACCTTCATCAGCCTGGCGCTGGCCTGTCACCCCAGCACGTCCAGCACCACCTCTCCATCTCCCAACCATGGGACCTGCTGTCATTCCCCGGACCTGCCAGGCCTGCTCCTGCCTTTCTCTCAGCCTTTGCTCCTTCTGCTTCCCAGCCTGGGAAGCTGCACCGGCACTGTCCACAGACTCGTTCCCTTTCCTCCTTACCAAACACGGGTCCTACACTGCCAGAGCGGGGACCGCAGTGAAGTGTCCACTGCGTCTGTCGGCTGGTCACTAGCTAGGGATCATTTTGATTACATGGTCCGAGTGTTGTCTGGGTTTCCCACTGTGTGGTTCCTCTTCTCCCTTTGCAACTAGTAAGCCATCCTCGAGGAGCAAGGCAGGGGAGCTGACAGTAGGAACCGTGAGGACACGTGGCAGCCGGAGGCAGGATATGGCCGCTGGATGAGAGGGAATGCACCGCAGTGACAACAGTGGACACAGGCAGAGCTGGGGGCAGGGACTGTCCTGTGGCTCCGTAGAACACCCGAGTGTAGGAAGCACACACAAAGGCATTAGGAAACCAACGCACTTGGTGTTTGCAAAGCATTTAAAAAGGTCTGGGAGAAAAGGATCTGTGTAGATAAAAACAAATTTGAAGAGTACATTTCTGCCACACAGGACTACTGTGACATCTGTTTATCTCCGTTTCCCAAATTTTCTACAAAATACTTTGCCTCTATAATATAAAAAAATGGGTTGGGGTCCACTTCCTGTCTTGCAGGAAGTGCTTTGACAACCAGGAGGCAGGGGAGGGCTTTCTTTTTGCTGGCTAGAGCGGTGACCCCATCCTGGCCTGCGCGTTGTTTTTCTTTTCCAGCAGGTCCCGGAGGGGGGGGCGGATCCGAGGGACCTATTACTTGCTTCTGTTCAGGACCCCTTCCCTCATACATTCTGGCAAGAGCATGCCTTGCCTTCTGGGGAGCACTCCTCTCCCTCTGTTCCCCTAGATCGTTTTGGAGCCCGAGGCCCCACGGGGCACTGCGGGGATGAGAGGTGGGAAGGGCACAGGGAGATGGGCAGAGCAAGGTTCTGGTCCCCGCCAGGAAACCTGGATTCCCGGGTTGCTGGAGCAGTGCTTGCCCCTATGGGCCGCCCCCAGTCCTTCCGAGCCTGGGGGCGCCCCAGACGCTGCTGAGGAGTTCCTGTTGCTCACACTGTTGCCTTGGCAGTGGTCCGCTTGACTTCGAGCATCCGGGCCCTGGGCCCCCAAGACCGGGCAGGTGCCTGGAGCAGCAGAGAGGTGTCAGCCAGGCCGGACACCTGCTGAGGGGGAGGGCCAGAGTCTCGCTGACTGGTCTGCAGCCCCTGCGGTACATGGGGTCTGTCCCTCTGCCGGTGCAGCCTGTTTGTAGCCCTCACTGTGTCTGTCACTCCTGGTAGTAAGGTCCCTGAGAGAGAGACACTACTTTGCAGAGGAGAAAGTGGGGGTTTCCCGAGGAAGGAGCTGGCACATGGGTAAAGTCGGGATAATCCTGGCTGCTTTGCTGCTGAGACACCAGGACCCAGTCTCTGTGGCTGGAAAGCCGCTGGAAACCAGCTGGCGGGCTCTGCTCCATTGGCCTCCCTCATTCCCGGCCCAGGCTGAGAAAACACTGCTGGCCACCAGGCAGAGGGCAGAAAGAATTTGGAGAGAGCCTGCTGGCTCGCCATGGTGCCCTTTTATCGCAAGCTGTAGGTGCAGCCGGGTTCATGGGGACTAGGGTGTGGCGTCCTGCTGTGACCTGAGGGAAAAGATGAGGGCCAAGACCACGGAGGACAGCCCTGGCTGGTGGCCAGCAGTGGGGCCAGGAGGGAATGAGCCCAGGCCATCTGAAAACCCCACCCCCACCCCAGGATAGTTACTCTTCTGGCCCAAAAGAAGTTTCACGATCCCAGTGTGAAGAGGGCAGAATGGAGATCACAGGCTGCGCGGCCCAGAGCTTCCTCAGGACCCCGCGGCCCACCCCGTCCTCCTCGGCCTCTCCGGCCAGGCCCCGGCCTCCTCTGGAGCCTCTCCGGTTCGACAATCCCCAAGGGCAGCCCGCCCGTCCAGCCCCCGCATCTCGTGTGCCGAGGCTTTTCCCGGCCGCCGGCATCCGCAAACGCCCACCACACGCTGCACTACTTATTTCTAACAATAAAAAACACGTAAAAATTAAGACATTTTAAAAGGATGATCTCGAAGGAGAGAGTTTTCCCTCCGCATTCCAGGGAATACCTCGGGTATTGTGGCGGGCGGCTCCTCCCACAAGCGGTGTTCCCAGCGGCAAGTCCGGCCTCCGCTCCCCAGCCTTGGCTCCCACCACCTGCTGGACCCCCGCCCCGCCCCGGCCGCCGGCCCCCCCGGCCCCGCCCCCGGCGCAGGCTCCCCCCAGGCCGCCGGCCCCGCCCCTCGGTGCTGCAGGACAGTCCCCCCCCGCCCCGAGCCCGCGATCCCAGCACTGAGACCGGGAAGGGCTGCGCGACCCTGCCCCCTCCCAGCTGCCCCCCCGACGGCCCGGGACGAGCTGCCAGGGAGCGGACGAGTCCGTGTCGCGGGGCAAGGACCCGGACCAGGAGCCCGCAAACTATGTGAGGGGCCGGACAGGACGGACGATTTGCGTAGTAACCCTTCGTAAGAGCCCTTTGGCAATGGAAAGACCGTCGGCGCCCGACGGCCGCAGGAGAGCTGGGCGGGAGCTTCGGTCCGGGGCTGCCGTGGGGGGTCCGCGCCGCCCTCGGGTCCTGCGCTTCCCCGCGAGTCTGTCCACGGCAGGCCGCTGGGTCTCCCGCCGGTAGGGCCCGGCTAGCCTGGCCCGGGGTGAGGGCGCACCCCCGCGTCTGGCGCGGCCGCCGGGCTCCCTGGGCTCTGAGGACCGACGGCGCTGGGTCAGGGGCCGGCAGCGGCGGGAGGCGCGTCCGCGCTCCGGGCGCGCACGGGGTCGCTCGCCGCTGTGGGGCCGCGGGTGCGGCGTGAAGGGCGAGCTGTGCACGAGGCTCTCCCGGGCTCGCACGGCTTCGCGCGCGTGGGCCTGCGCCCCTGCTTCACAGCGTCCGGCCGGTGGCCAAAACCCCTCCAGCCCCCAGCGCCCTCGGGAGGCTGCTCCCAGCCGGGAAGCTTCCAAGGCTGGAGCGC